TCTATAAACTAAGGCTCAACAAATTTTAAAGAATTAGTATCATACAGACCAATATTTTTCAATTGAGGGCCATTACTGTGACATAAATCACAGTGAAACTGCAGAACACCAAAAACAAAAAGATCACCAAAAAAAGCCCAAGGGGACGAAAAAAAGAAATATTTGACTTATCAGTGAAAATGGGATTTAAAAGATAGTAGAAATGTGTGGAAAGGATATAACAAGCTACCTAAAATTCCAAATCCAACAAAAACATCATTCAAGTATTATAGCAAAATCTTGGACATCATGGTCTACTGCAAAAAAAAGAACCCCCTCCAAAAAAACGACAAAAAACCAAAAAGAATTACAGCAAAACAGACATCATTACTTAGATTTAAAACTAAGTTTAGCACCAATCAAACCCTTACGAAAGAATACTCTAAATGATACACTTTAGGCAGATGAAGGGATAAAATGAAAGAGAAATGAAGAGCAAAAAAAATGTATGATACCTATGTAAAAAGAAATGAATCTAAATACATAATAATAATGATGTTTAATTAGTCAAAAAAATTAAACAACATAAATAGGGTAGGGATAAATGAAGTTAAAGCAATCAATAGACTTGCATTATCCAAAAAATAGTTATTAACTTTAGATTTAATAATTTAAATATGTACATTATATTTCCAAGGATAGCCTCTCAAAGAACAGAAACTGAATATTTAATTTCCAAACTGACAGAGGACACAAGGGAGCTTCTGGAGTGCTTACAATGTTTTATTTCTTGACCTGGGTGGTAGTTACAAGAGTTTTTGCTTAATAATTGTTTGTTAAACTGCATTCTGCAATATGTTATATTTAACAATAAAAATGTAAAAATCAATTAATGTGGTTCATTATAATAACAGATTAAAGTAGATAATTCATATGATTGTCTCAATAGATACAGAATAAGAATACAATAAAATTCAATACCGATTCATGATAAAACCTCATACCTCGGAAAAGGGGAATTTATTTAACCTTATAAAGGGTATCTTTTTTTTTTTATTTCAGCATATTATGGAGGTATATAAAGGGTATCTTAAAACACACACATACACACACACACACACACACACACACAGAGCAACCACACTTAATAAGACATTACAGGTATTCTTTTTTAAAATC